AGCCATTCATTGTTTGTGACATTTGGCTGTCGGCTCTTTAACACCCTTCAACCAAATCAATTTCATATTTTTGTCAATGCCCTGCTAGAGGATGAGCAGAATGGGAAGAGACTTAGCATGATTTAGAATGTTGATTTTCTAGAGCGGTTTTATCTGTAGTTTTTACAAGCCTTATAAAGTTAATTCAACATGTTTATCTAAGCATATGCAATAAATTGGGAGAGAAGCGCTACCAGAGTTAAGTTTCAAATTCCCCAAATCTAATTCATGAAGGAAACTAAATTATGATAACAATGCCAGTAAAAATAAATATGCTGCCATCCTGTTCCCTCCAAACCCGAACCACAATTAGGCAGGTCCCTGCCCAGCCCAAACCCAGGGACTGGTAAAACAAACCCACAGCTCCAACCCAAGAACCCAACCCCACCAGTGCTGCTGGAATGTGTCTCTGACCACGCGGATGCAGGAAGGAGAGAAGAATGCTGAGGTGGGACCTCCATGTTCAGTCCCAGCCCCACAGGTCCCCAAGCCCACAGCCCCTCACACTGATCCGCACCCAGGGATGCCTTTTGGGGGCTGAAAACGCTCACAGTCAGGCTGGGCTTTGCTGTGCTCCAGCCCCAGTCCCTCTGGCTGGGGCAGAGATGTGCCAAGGACGGGGCATGGCATCATCCCAGAGCGTGCCCAGCCCCTGAGCAGCAGATGCTGTAGTGGGGATCCTTTTACACAATATTTTCACGTGACAGACCAGCAGCATTAAATGTGGATTAGCAGCCTGGCAGCTCAAACAGCTTCTTCAGAGCCAGTAGCACCATGGTGTAAATATGTATTTAGGGCACTTGCAGGCTGTGTTACATTGCGACGGATCCCGCTCCCGCCTCCCCACACACCTGGATTTATGCCGCGTTCTTCAGAAGGCCTGGAGATACCCTGGGCTTGGCAGGTACTGTTATGGAAGCAGTTACTGCCTGGAATGATCTGATCTGATCCTTTGTGTACGTCCACACATCCCTTCACATGGCTGGTATTTTAATCTCTGACCCTCAGGAGCCACGTCCAGCCAGGACAGAAATGCTCTTGCTGAGCAGGACGAGGGACGTGTCCCCTGTCCCACCCCACCACAGAGGTCACCTCCTGCACACAGCCCCAGCTCCTGGGGAGCAGGGACTGTCCTTCACAGCCTTCCCCTCTATTTTTAACTGCTGATAAATTGGAGAGACTCTTGGTTAAACCATGTGGGTTTCAAGGACGTGGAGGACAGTGATGGCAGCAGTTGACACTTCATTACATCAGAGATGTGAGGGGAGAGGACCCCACTGTCCCCCCAGGGTGGCTGGAGGGCGGTGGGCAGGGGCTGTTCTCAACCTGCCCGTGCCCCTGGGGGTGCCCAGCCCCTTGCACCCCAAGCCTGGCCCATGCAGCCCCCACAGCCCAGCAGTTTGCTGGAGACCCCCCTCCTTCGTGGGCAGGAGACAACTCCTGCAGGGCTCCCCTGGATCGCTCCCTCTGTGAGACCCCCCAGGGCAGGGGCTGCTGCGCTGCCGGCATCACACCCCACCCTACCTGGGAAAAGGCCTGATGAGAAATGAATTTGAAAAACCAATTGTAAAAAATAGTTTTAAAGTCTCTCGGCCTTGCCCCCAGGGAACGAGGACATGGTGTGTTTAAAATATTGTGCTTAAAATAAAAAATATTCTCCATACTGGCAACCTATTTTGCTGGGTTCCTGATATTGCTGTTTCCAAGACCACGTGCATGCCAGACCCCCTCCTCCCCAGGGACACCACAGGACACGACAGCCAAGGTTAAAAACAAAGCTTTCAGGATGGTTTCCCAGCCCGGCGTACTTCAGATGAGGACTGGACACAAACCATCCTTCTGCTAAACCTCTGCTCATAGAGGGATGGGATGGGATGGGATGGGACAGGGAGGTGGGTCCCCATACAGGGTGCCTGGAGCAGGGAGCTGGAGAACAGTGGCCAGACCAGCTGACGTCTGGGGCACCCCAACATCTCTCTCCTGCAGCTGAAGCAAGAACAGAACCCAGTGGGAAGAGAGCTTGAGGCTCATGACAATGTCCCCCCTTCACCCCAAGTGAGCCCTCCCTGAACAAAGGTCTGTCCTCCTGGTCCACCCACCCAAGGAAGCGTGCAAGGTCTGTGACCTGTCCCAGCACACCAAGAGGGACACCAGCACCAGAGACCATACATGGGAGGGGAAGGCTCCCCTTGAGACTTTCAGTGCCTCGATGAGGAAACACGTCCAGACTTTGCTCTTTTAAATAAGCGTTTTTCAAAATTAGAGAAAGAACCTGTTCAGTTTCAAGTGCAAAATTTAAGGATTAAGGGTTGAGTAAAGGGGTCTGTACAGGAGTGTTACCTGTCCCCATCCTCCCAACACTGCCACTGCCCTCGTGCAGAACTTGCCAGGGCCCTGACACTGGGATCCCTGTCAGGATCTGCTGGATCCTCCTGGCCCCACTGGCCAGAACGTGGAGCCAAAAAGACCTATCAGATGGGCCTCCAGGCAGGAGACACACTACTCCAGCACCCAGATCAAGGAGCTCCCAAAATACCAGAAATACGATGCAAAGCATTTTTCATGCCCAATGGAGCAGTAAAAGAGGAGCCTGAAAAATGCATTTTAATATATTTACTATCTTTTTTAGTTTTCTAGACCAGATAGGAAGAGGAAGAATTTCTTGCCACAGCCCCAGAATATTCTGTTATTCTCCTGTTGTTTTACTGTTGGATTTTTCCCACTATGCCCCAATATCCTAATTTTTCAGCTACAGCGTGTTTGCTTTGATGATGCCTTAACCTAGAAATAGTCTGCAGTTGTTTACCTGCTGGTAGAGCTTCAAATATTATATTCTCACATTTTTAAATCAGTGCAGACACCTGAGACAAAAAGTGTCCCAAAAGCTGCCTACAAGAGCTACATGCTGGTCACTCTTTCTTGTCAAGGTTGATTTATTGCCTCCTTGCTGTTCAATTTCACATTTTGTCCTCATCATATCCGTGGCTCATGATCATTCTAGGCTGACCCTTGTAGGGCAGGCAGGGAATATTGATAAAACAATTATCTGTTAGCCGTTCATTTGATTTTCCATTTCAATTACGGATTGCACGAGGCAAAAGGAAAAAGATTGCATCATTGATTTTTCTACCTTACAACAGTAAAGAGTTGCTTTGATGGTTATAAAATGAATGCAACTCAACCATGCTTTTAAAGGTCATATTTTTTGTTTTACTATATTTCTTAAAAGCCTTAATATATGCAACTGTACAGGGGGGGAATGCCCATATCGTCAGCTCGGATAACCAGACACAAAGCACACACGTGCAAACACGGGTGAAAACCCCGCTCTAATGTATTTACAATAAATCTGATCTTCCCCAGCAGCGCCTCGGCACCGCTCGGCAGCCGGGGAGCCCAGCCCTGCCTGCAGTGCCTGTTCTCTCGTGGAGCCCCTGCCTGCAGTGCCTGTTCTCTTGTGGAGCCCAGCCCTGCCTGCAGTGCCTGTCCCTGCGTGGAGCCCCTGCCTGCAGTGCCTGTCCCCGCGTGGAGCCCAGCCCTGCCTGCAGTGCCTGTTCTCTCGTGGAGCCCCTGCCTGCAGTGCCTGTCCTCGCCCTGGAGCATCCCTCCATCCATCCATCCATCCATCCATCCATCCATCCATCCATCCCTCCATCCGGCCCTGCCCGGAGCAGCGGCCCCGCCTGCCGGGAGCGCCGTGCGGGTCCCCCCGTGAGCCGCGGGGCAGGAGCCGCTGCGGTGCGAAGGGAGAGAGCGGCGGCAGAAGAGCCGCGTTCCCCTGCTAAAGAGAACTATGTTCAAACTTCACCTCTGCGAAGGGCCGCCGCCGAGCGCTCGCAGGGCAGTGATCCGGGACGGTCACGCTGGCGCGGGAGCGGTGCCGAGCCCGTGGAGCTCCATCACGGTTCAGCGCCCGGCACCGCTCCGGGGGATTTTCACATGGCCGACCCTCGGAGAAGTTCAGCCTTTGATCAAGGTTTAGCGTGCCTGGAGTGGCCGTGGTGCAGGAAAGGGCTCCCATTTTCTGTGTCACAGGGTGCCAGTGCTGATCTCCTTAAAGCCCCCGAGTTTTCTTCCAAGACTGGATTACGCTCAGCAATTAAGGTAATGAACTGGCTGAGGTAACAAAGCATAATGATCTCTTTTGTCCTCTGAATGCTTATGAACTCGCTCCCTCACAATAGTCTGGAATGCAGAGCTTTCTCCAACACCGGGGCTTAAAACTGTGTAAAAATGATTACTTCCATTATGCCTTCATGGTTTGACATTTTTAATTTAAACACCTGTAATATTTAAGCATACTTCTCAGAACCCAAATACCCGCTCTCAAAGAATGCTAGCTTACATCCCTGCAATATTTTGACATCTTATGAGTATTATTTTAATGCCTGAAAAGATAATGTGATGAATCCATTGCAAATATATCAAAATATGTGTATAAAGGACTGTTGCTCGTGTTTTGTTTGAAAACAATGGATTTTTCAAAACAAGGCACAACAGCTGAGAGAGCAGTCAGCGTTTCATCAGGCACTCTGTTGTGTCAATAAGGAACCACATTGTCTGGGCATATGTGCAAATGCAACACAACTTTTGCTCCAAACCAGCCCTTTTCTGTGGTATCAAACCCCACCGTGCCACTGCCACCCTTTCCCAGCACAGGGTGTTTTCATGCAGCTATTTCACTTTTTTAAAGCATTTACTTAAGGTTTTATTTATTTATTTTGAAACATCTGGCTACTACTTTTACATTTTTCTCAAATTTTTTGCATGATATAAACCTTCTGCACTGCAGAATCCGCTGCACTCTGATCTTTCATCTTAACACATTTCCAGCCCCAAATTTCACTTCAATCTCACCTCATCTCTCCATACTACATTAACCCCTGGCAATTGCCTTCCAAATGACCCCATTAAGCTGTAATTGCCTCAGCAGGCCTGCACTTTCGCTTGTAATTCTGTACCTCTCATCTCCCAGACGTTCTCTCAGCATCATTTCGTGTTCTGGCTCCCTTCACTGAGCTCAGCTTATGACCTCGCTGCACCATGGCCGAAATGACTACTAAAAGCATAACAGAGACGGAATTCCATTACTTATTTTTAAAAGTTCTCTGGTGCCCTAATGTAATATTCTTTGGGGAGTGTTGTCAAGGATACCAAGCACCAGCCATTAAAACCTTTTGTTTCCCAAGGCATTCCGTCTTTTATTAATAAATAAAGATAAAGAGAAGCTCATCCACCCTCCACAAAGTCAGCATGTGTTTGCAATGCTCTGGTACGGCTCCAATCCTTACTGTGCCCCCGGATGTTACCCGGAGCAGGGGAGGGCAGGCTGGCAGCTCTGCCCGGCTCCGGGGCTGCCGCGCTGAGAAATTAAACCATTGCAGATAATTTTGCAGGAGCACCTCGGCACAGCGACGCTGCCTTTAGCATATGCTGCCGCTGTACCCGTAATGGAAATGAAAGCCCAGGTCCGAGCAGCCTTTTGTGGCCACCGTGCTGAGGAGGAGGAAAACTCACACTGTCATATCCCACTGTCAGGGCTAACAGTCTATCAAGGATAATGGGAATCCCCAATGGGGGCGAACAAAACAGCATGGAAAAAGCTGGCTAATCCTTTAACCGGGTTTGTGGCTCAAATGTGTTAAGGAGGAACCTCCCGCTCCCGGCTGTTGTGAGACGACCAGGAGACATATATTTCAGATTGAAAATTAATTGGTGCTGGATCCAAGCAAGCCTTTGCAGCAAGCAGTAACCTTTTCATTTTATGGTCATGACACTGAAATATTAAGAGCCCTCTTCTCCCATAAACTATATAAACAGAGGCTCTCTGAAAAATGGAGGTAGTTTTTTTCTGTGGCAGAGAAGGAGTTTTACTCTTAATTCATAATAAAACTTAGCATCGAGGCCGTGCAGGGTAGCAGGTTCCTGCTCAAGGAACGCCGGCGCCCACAGGGGCTCTCCCAGCCCTGGGGGAAACAGGGGTGCCCAGGTGGGGCCAGGGCCCTCTGAGCTTCCTCCTCAGCTGAGCCTGCCTGGCACTGCCGACAGAGCCACATCTGGATCTCCAGCCCCACTTGCTCTCCATCTGTCACACAGGAAGGGGCAGAGGCTGGCAGGGCCGAGGGGGAGGCAGGTGCTGGCCCAGCTCTGCTGGAGGGGTGCACAGAAAGGCCCATCGGAGCCTGTCCAGCACCATGTGACCCTGGGGAGGTGACACCCTGCTCGGGACACCCCTGCTCACAACCAGCAGTTTTGGGCAGTGCATCACAAGGGTCTTCCCTGCACATGTGACCTGTGACCTGTTCTTTCAGCATCTGCTGCCCATCACTGTCAGAGACAGCACTGGACCCTGTCAGCCTCTGTCTGATCAGGAGATCCAAACGTTTTGGGTTGATTTTTTTTTACCCTATATGTGGCAATAATGAGTTCACATGGATTTTTAGCCAAAAAGTAGATTTTATCCAGGATCCCCAACTAAAAGCAAGTTCCTGAAAGTTTTTCACTTCTTCTTGCCAGAAGGACAGAGAAGGCTGGTGTCTACAGGCATTTGCACGTCCACGGTGTTGGGAGGTGACACTGCCCATGAGAACATGTGCCATGCTAGGACTGAGGCCATTGCCTGTTTCTCTGCCAGCCCCACGCAGCCTGACGTCCTCCCTGGTGGCCACAGGACACGCCAGCACTGTCACTAAGGCAGGACAATGTCTGTCAAGGCTGTCCAGACACCCCAAAGCCACCTCCCTGATCATCTTCCATGGAGAATCCACACAGATAAGATGATAAAATCAGTCTAATCACGGAGCTGCTCCAAAGGTCCCAAAGGAGATGAAAAATAACCCGGGACTTTTCCACAATGGGACAGTTTCTGCAGGTGGATGACTGAGCCTGCAGACGTTCCTCTGGCTACGTGTGAGCCACGTGTGAGCTGTGTGTAAGCTCCATGTGAACCATGTGCTGCAGCAGCTTCACAACTCAGGCTGTTTTCATTCTACACACCAGGCAGGAAATTTCCATTTCATGCATCACTCACATTTTGTCCTGATTCTGCAAAGTCAGTGCTTACACTGAAGGTAATGCCTGGAGGAAATCCGATTGCTTCAGAGTTGCTATTGTTTGGAATTCCAGTTTGGGCTCATTGGGCACTGATTTTGTTTGCTTTCAGCAAAGCTTGTGGTATTGGAGTGCAAAGCAGAGACAAGCAGCTGAATGAAGTCAATCCAAGTGCTTCAGTTATTTTTGTTTTCTTTAAAATGAGCTTTGATTTCATCACATTCTGCCTGTCTGTTCAGCCCAGATAATGCCATTTTTGTCAACTTCCTGAGGAGAGATTATCAGCCCCAACAGAAGTCATGATCAGCAGAGCTGGATCTGTGCTGGTTCCATTAGAAGCACTCAGGATCCCCTGTGCCTCTGGCTCTGCACATGCTGAGACTCTGGGTGGCCACCAAACGTCACCTGCACACAGGGCACACGCTGGCACACGTTCCTGGCACACACTGCTGACACCCACATTTCCACACAGTATTTGGCTTTTCTTGTTATCAGGTTGAACAGGACTGAATCCTGCACAGAGTCTGTTGGGGTTTTCCATGCAGAGGTTATGAGTACGTACCAAAAACACCCCTCAGAAATGTTACAAGTACCCAAAGAGGTGAAATCACTAAAGATAAAGCATCTCCACCTCCCAACCATTGCAATATTTCTTGTTTGTCTGTTTACTGGAGTAACCATGAGTTACAGAGACACTCTCCAGAGTTCCAGGTGTGTCTAATGGAAACAGCCAGTCATGAAGCATCATGTGGCATCAATGCCACAACCAAGGCAACTCTGAAAAATGAGGTGTGCTTCTCATATTCCAGGACCCTTTTCCTCTCTTCCCAGAGAAAAGAACTAAACTAAGCAACTCCATGCTCCATTTATTTGTCACCTACCTGGAGTCCCCTTGAACCTTGCACCAAGTGAAACGTCCTGTTTCCACCAAAGCCATTAGTTTCCATCCTAAAGGACATGCCTGGGGAGCTCCATTTTTTGGTCATTCTGGCTCCTCAGCATGTTTACTTTTAACTCCTAATTAACTCCTAGTCCCCAAACTCCCAAGGAAGTTCTTGGTTATTTTCTTGCCTGCTCTGCAGCCCCGATCCCAGCAGGCACAAGCGCTGCAATGGAACACACCCCTTCAGTAATACCAACACCCTGCCTGGACTGACTTGGTCCACGTTCCATCAATCCCTGTGCAACAAACCCAAATGAACCATAGATGATTCTGTAATTCAAAGCAAGAACTGGGCAAGAAAGAGGAAATTCTGTAGATAATAGGATACTCAAAGCTTGTCCTGAGCCCTGCGCAGTCACCGGCCCAGCAAAGCACCACTCTGTAGTGAAGACAGTGGTGAAAGTGAAGAGCATCTCCAGCCCCATTATAAACTGCTTTGTATGAAACAAAATACTCTTTTTGTAGGTAAAAATGATACAAAGCAGAAGCTGACGATAAATTTTTCCTTTCAGTTTTAATCAGGCTTCCTGTTGTAAAAGCTCAGCAGACAGTGACGCGAGACACTGCCTCCCAACTTCGGTTCACCTTTGCCGTTCCACCAGGGACACCGTGTCAAGATTGTTCAGCTTTTTTGATGAGTGCTGCGTGAGTAACTAATGTGTAAATGCAGATACGTATAGAAAGCAGTTTTGACAGTGATGTATTGCAACTGGTTCCAGATGTCGGCGAGGGATGCTCGGCCAGGCACCTGGGGCTCGCCTGCCACGGAGCCGCACCAGCACCAAACCAGTCTTCACATAGATCACAGGGCTTTAACTCTCCAATTATAATCTTATTAAACAACCATCACTCCAGCTTCTGCTTCTCCTCTTCCAGGATGCTACAAAATATCTCTGTGTTGTTGCTCACATTTTAATTTTAATTAAGGGGAGATAAGTTGCAATGTGGAGCTTAGCACTAAACCCTGCAGTTTGGCTGTCAATGGGAAACTTAAAAGCAAGCTGTTGAATTGGTCAAAATTAACCTTATATTAACATTTCACATCTTTTATATCACTACACTAAAACTTGCACACTGCCCATGCCGAACATTTAATTAGATATCCCCTAATTCCTGAAGCAAATGTTGAAATGGTGGTACAATACTGCATTTTCCATGGAAGACGTGAGCTGGTACTGGGTTTGCCTTCAATACGGGAGCAAACTGCCAAGGAGGTCATTCTAAAGAAGAAGGACTTGCACATAATTGTAAAATCTGTTAGAGACACGCTGCTGAAAACACCACATCTCCAGCCATGCCCCGTGCCCACTGTGCCACAAAGTGGGCATCCAGCACACAGCAGAGTGCAGCGTGCCCCGCCAAACACGGCCACCACTGCCAGGGAACTGTCCCCTCACACCTCGCTGCTCACCCCTCCTGGGGCACTAACGGGGGCATTTCAAATAAAGATAAAAATAAAAATGTGCATTGAAAGATTAAGTAATTAATTAGTGCAATAACAGTCAGACTCACTGCACAATTGACGCTGACAAGTGGCTGGCGGGCCCGGCCGGAGCAGTCGGCAGGCAGAGCTCACGGCACGTTCCGGGAGCAGCATTTAACCCACAACACTGATAAAGTTGCACTTCGTACAGCAGAAGTGTTTGTAGCTCAGCTCAGCATCAGTGTTTGGTCTAAAGGGAATTTTCTCAAACAACCTGTCTGTCTCCCTCCTCCTTCGCTCCGAACCGCGTGCTCCAATCGCCGCTCTCGGGGGATCGCCCTCAGCTCGCTCCCTCCGCGCCCCTGGGATTCCAGGCGTCCCTCATTGATCACCATCGCTGCCGAGAGCAGGCGTGTGCTCAGCCCAGAACAAAGAGGGAGGGAGCCCTGTGCTGCTGATCTCCCCTATCACACCACGGGTTCAGGGCACGACTGCCAGAAGCACTGGCCGGGATGATGCCGTAGCACCGCTGCCGTGCTCCCCTTCCACTCAGACCCCTCCATCCAT